GGTCAACCCCGGGCCGCGGTCCCCCTACCGCCCAGCCAGCCAGAGACCTGCCAGCTCCTGGAAACGAAGGGCCGGGCGGGGACGAGCAACGTGCAGGCAGGGAGGAGGTGGGCGACCCCTTTTCCCCCGAACGCCCCACCGAGCTGGAGGCCGACCTGCGCCCACGCGGTCCTCTCACCTTGACAACACCGCACTGTTTGAAGAAGTCTGCCAGATCCTCCAGGGTCACATTATCATTGAGTCCCTGCACATAAACTGAACTGTTGTCCGAGTCCTCGTCCGGGTCCATAGGTGGGCCTAGGAGAGAGTTCACGGTGTCACTGCGGGGAGAGGACAGGCGGCGAGCCAGCCTAACGGAGTACTTTTCACCTCGTCACCATCCCCTCAGCCAGCCGCGGCTTCGCTCTCAACGAGCGTATTCCGCCCCCTTCCCCCCGCGGGCAGGGCAGGACTGCGCGGCCCCCCGCTGCCGAGCTGGCCTGCCTCCCCCCGGCCGCCCGGCGGCTTTCTCCTGCCGCAGCCAGAAACCCACATCCACCCGGCACGAGGAGAACCGCGTGGTTAAACCGCCTGGGTTATCGTGGGAGGCGTCCGAGGCGAGACGCGAGGAAGACCATTGCGGCCTTCGGGCTCCCGCACGCGGCCGGCCGCGCTAACCCCCCCCCTTCCCGCAGCAACGTGCCGGTCCTGGAAGGCTGACGCATAACTTCCAGACACGCCTGTGCCACAGGAAGGAAAAGAGCTGCACGGCGACAGGCCAGGGGTGGCACGAGAGGAGGCTACCGGACCAGCACGTACGAGCTCCGGGCTAAGGCTGCCCGAAAAAGGGCTTTCTGCCGAACCAAAGAGCCGCGGAGCAGCTCTCCCGAAAGCCCCCCTTAGCTCCCGCGGAGAAGGGTAAGCGTCTCACAAACACGTGCCGTTTTCCACCAGTCCAGCTGTTCTGATGAATCAGGGAATCGAGAGACAAACGAAATGGCGGGAGAGAGCCTGCAAATGGCAGAGCGTCCTCGGGCTCCTACGGAAGGGGCACGCCGCGGGGCTAACACCTCCCGCGGCTACAGCCCTCGTCCGGAGCAGAGACCGAGCGCGGAAGCCTCAACCCCGCGAGCTCGGGAGAGAGTCCCAGCAGTTATTGGCAATTACCTAAATCAAGGTCCGGTCCTTCTTCCATGTGTCCTGCCAGTCGGGAAAGAATCATAAGAAGCCGTGTTAGTGCACGCCTTGCGGGCTGAAGAACCGACACACACAACGCTATCTACTTATGACCACCATTCGATGGCGCCGGTTAAACTCCAATTGACCTGCATTGCAACAACATCAGCAATGCACCTTTCACTTGGTGATCGGTTTGCTATTTTTAGCAGCCTTCCAAACCATTAACCGCTATTACACTTCTCTCTTTTTTTTTTTTAATGCTTTACCAGGCCAATCAGTTTTACGTTCATTAATAAAAAATTACTTTACGAAAAATTTATTAAATCCAAACCATTTATTTTCCCCAAATTACAGAAGTGGTTGCTCAATTCCTCCAAGTTACCCTGTGTCCTGTAACCGCGTACCCCTAGGCATCGCCGGCAGTACCCGTTACGGTCTTGTTGCACATGTCATTTTAACCACTTAAGCTAATAAAAATTACACTTTGTGCTAAAAACTGACTGCATTTTTTTTTTTTTTTTTAAACACTATCCATTGTAATGCTCAAAAACTTACCACCAGGCTTATTGAAGCCACCTCGCTCTCCAGCGCTGCTGGGGGGATAAACGAAGAAATGAAGGCCTTTCCCTTTACAAAGCCAGTACCGCTCTGAGCCTCTGCGGCTCACTGGGAAGAAGGGCACTGGCTAAACATCTCCAAACAATGCATCTGTCTCTCTCTCTCTCATCTCGGCACTATGCCTTTCTTCAGGGCAGCTCGCTCAAATTTCCTTTACATATACGCAACCTCGCTTGTCTGGTTTTAGACACCACTTTGCTGTCGGTACCCTTGCGTTACTTGTATGGGTATTATCAGTGCAATACTTGGCAAAAAAATGCTTTCGAGCGTTGTGAATCGGGCTTTTGCCTTGGAGGAATCGTGGGGTCGTTCACTGGTCAACTCCCTCCCCTCTGTGTGTCCGTAAAGGTGCACCCTCAGCCTCTCGCAGCACCGAGAGCGAAACGAGCCCGCGGGTCCCTGACATTAACAGTTAAAAAGGTAGGAGACAACCATACGCGATACCTACAACACAGTTCAGATGACATTTCCGCTAAGAACCTCGGTATAAAGCCATACATTCAGGTCACTACTGAATTTAACAAGTCTCTGTGGAGGGAGCACTTACAGAATACAGCGGGGGCTCGAAGGCCTGGGGTGCAGCTTTGTGGACACAAGACCAGAACGGAAGATTTCGGCACGCGCCAACGCAAACTCACGGCCGCAGCTTTCCTCAAAAGCTTTGGCTGAAGCGTGCAGCTAAGACTGCTTTCAAGCGCTGGTTAATTAGGAAAATGCCGCCCGAAAAGGATTTTGACGTTTCTTGCTCTTTTTGGGAAGGCAAAAAGCCGTTTGGAAGGAGACGAGCAGAGGAGGGAGAGCACCGCCTATTTTCTAGCAAGTATTGCACCTCTAATACTGGAAAAAAAAGAGTCGTCAATACACAGTTTCAAGCTGTTGCATGCAGCTTTGCCTCCTCTCGTTAAAGTACACACCATTTACGTAATGTCTCTCTTTTTAAACACATACGTTTACACTTTTTAACGTTACACAATTCTAAAGTAGTATACCTCCTCTGGTTTTATTACCAAACAACAAGTATGCAGTTACCAAAGTTACAGAAGGATTCCATTTATACAATGAATACATTTGGTTAAAAATATTCTATGTATATTTTTCCTCTCCATATGGACACCGTGTCTAGTCCCACTTTTCATTATGCTGCCGGCTGAGTACTGAGTACGGGTACTTTTTAAGTATTGAAGTGTATACAAGGCTCTCACTTTGTAACCTGTAGCATATAAATGCGACAAAGCATGTTAAAAAGTTTCCATGTTTAACAGCCAATGAAAATATAAAATAACGGAGTCAATGAAAAAGGGCACGTGAATAACATCGAGCTCCTTACCTGCCGGAGACACTGAAATCCATCACCACAGCGTGATAGGAAGGGCCGAGTTCCCCTACCTGCCCCTTGGCGTTCATAGGGAGGCCACCTTTTCTATGGACAGCAGAAAGTCTACGTCCATAAAGCAGGGGACCCTTTGTAACGGTCTAGTCAGGTGGAAATCACTACGTACGCAATTTAAGCTCAGATTAAGGGTGTGAAATCAAGGGACGGATGACAGATCTTTTGCATGAGAAGCTCCGAAGGGGCTAAAATTTTAAGATGTGATGGTAGGCATTTCCAGTGTCTGCATCTACTTTAAACCATTAGAGATAAATACATCATGGGTGAAATCTTTATGCAGAACCACGGAACTCTGTTCCACTCGAGCCAATTCAAGCCAGATGTGTTCCAAGGCAAGCCAGTCTTTTCCTTCTGTTTCCGTACACCGGTGGTTGTATTTCTCCGATAAAGATTTCACGCCACTTCATTTCGACAGAGCTATGCAGAATGGGACTATCGATTTGCCAAACTCCCGTTGCCACCAGGTTGTAAAACACCTTCAGAAGTTGCCTAGCGAGGAGAAGCCGCGGTTCCGGCCGCCCTGCCGAGTACCAGGGCTAGCACCGTGCGTCCCGCGCCACACCTCCGGTGCGCACCTAGGGACACTCTGCATAGCTCTGAGCGACGGGGTGAAGGGATGGAACACACACAAAGCTACACCTTCCTTCTCTTAGGAGCCTTTGGGATTAGTCCTCCTTCCTCGCCCCTCGCAAAACAAACGTCATGGACAGGGAGACGCGCTGCTGACCTGAAGGCGCAGGTTTACCAAACCAGGTTTTGCCATCAGTTAACATGGCCAAACTGATTCAGACCACCTGAAAGCTCCAAGGGGGAGCAGTCCCGGGAGCCGAGCCAGACCCCTCTGCTGTCTCGGGGTCTGTCTTCACGCTCCAACCAAGCTCCGAGCGTTCCGGCCACTCGGAGTCATGGCTTCGACAGCAGCAATCTGCCCCAGGCACACACTTTGCGGACGTAGCTCCGCGAGCTACCGCTGAGGTGAAGAGGCCGACGGCGTAACGCGGGGCTGACCCGAGGCTTCTGCCCTGTACATACCTGAACTGCCAAGACCCCCACTACTGAGGCACAGGGAGCGACTGACTCCTGGACCTGGCGGAAGGTTTGTGTGTGTTCGATCCGGAGTTACTGTTAAACCCCGCAGAGGATTTCACCTCTGCGCGACCACGAAGGGAGCTGAAAGTTCCAGGTTTAGCAATACCCCTAATTCCCCCCCGGGGCCCAACCAGCTGCAGGACGAAAAAAATAGATCCTGCTCCTATTTCCCCCGAGATAATATTTCCATGGATTAGAAGCAATGCTGCTACAGAGATGTTCCCCATGGAAGTACCATTGGGAATGTCAACCTTTCAGTCCCTTCTTTCCATTTCAAATCCTACGGGTAAAACAGAATTAGATAAAAGGAGAAAAGATTTGCTCTTACCCCATTCCACCGCGTCCTCCTCCCCGCCCACCTCTGCTCATGCCTCCGCGATCATATCCCCCTCTTCCCCTGCCCCGGTTATCAGGGCCGCTCATATTCCGGTTCTCTCCTGGGCCTGAAAAGCCTCCGGATTCCTGCCCGTATACGTTCATGCTGCTAGGATGGTCCTGACGGAACGAGCCTGAGGAAGTTTGTAAGAAACACGTTAGGGAGCTGCAGACAAGAGCGGGTCGAAGCTGCCTGTCCCCTTCTTAAGCCCTTTTACCTGCCTTCAGCACCAAGCACTTGCGACAGCGCTTACAGCGACAGCGCTTACAGCGACAGCGCTAATTTAAGGAGAGATGCACCGCTTTCCGTTTGCGGAATCACGTTTTACATTAGGCCCTGCCAGTAGGACTTCCGCAGAGCTGCCACCTGGCCAAACAGAGTGGTTCGCACCAAGCCCTGCCTGCACCAGCCACAACAGTATTTTGTGCTTCTGTGTTTTTTCGAGCACCCATTCACCTTCGCCACGCTGAGGGGAGTATCACGACCTCCCACTGCAGCAGGCAAGCCGTTTTTCAGCGAGGAAGGGCAAAACCCAGCTACAGTATGCTCTCCCTTCGACGCAGCTGCAAGCTTTAGACCCAAAGCAACGCCAAGCCTCCTTCAGAGGCAGCCCACCCTGCGAGGGCAAGGGAGGCCGACCCTCTCCTCCGCAACCACGCGGCTCCGCTAAGCGCACTCACTCTGTTGGCCGTAACTGCTGCTCTGCTGGCTGTACTGGCTCGGGGCCTGGCTGTAGGATCCCGTCTGGGGCGGGTAACTAGTCGGCGGCGGCTGCTGCCCGTAGCTGCTTTGCTGGCCATAGCTAGTCTGTTGCCCGTAGGTGCTCTGTTGCCCGTAGGTGCTCTGCTGGGAGTAAGTGCTCTGATCGTAACTGCTTGGCTGTGTAGAGGAATAGCTGGAAGACAAAAGCGTTGAAAAGATGGGAAGGCGAGCCAGTTCACCGGCAACGTGCATTAGGCTGCAGAAGTGGCTCACACTAGAAGGTAATGCAATTATAAGCCATATGTACTGTTGTAAACCATTTAAAAAGGTGAAGTCATTCTGTGGAGGCTAGCCTGGTGGCAGGAGACAAAATAAACCCGGTAGACTGCTAAAAGCAAAATCCACGCGACCGTTCACAATTTATTCATACCTCTAGAAAGAGGCAGAAATGCCAGGGCAAAAAATCAGTGGCAATGCAATTTACAGTCTCCCCTTCTGCCTTGGCACTGCAAGAGCTGATGGATAATAAAACAGTCGTGCCCCCCCCCCCCACGCATCTCGGCCTTTGAGAATTTCAAAACACACACTTTAGAAGTCAGCATCAGCATATTAAAAGACACCTGAGGGGAAGAGGTGAGCCCCTTGTCAAAGCCATGCGTAAAGGCAGCGAAAGGTCGCTATAACACACTCCGTATCTAGGAAATTTCTTAAAAACATACGTCGTCGTTACACCTTGCTACTGCAGGTATGTACGCAGAGACACTTACGCACTCAGTCACAGCCGCATCTTCCCTACGATGAGGGGCACACCAACAAGAACCATGCCTCCCTCCTCCCAGGACACCAAACCTCCTTTTACATCTGTTCGTGATCGAGAAATCCCCCTTTTGCCCCAGCTAACCTGAAAGTTCCCACTCCAGCTGCATGAGGCTTAGCCTGCTGGGAGAGTTACCTGGTAGGAGGATAGGAGGGAGGCGCAGTGACCGGCTGCATGGGGTAGCTGGCAGGCACCTGAGGATAGCTGTAGTTGCTCTGTCCATACCCTAGGCTGGGCTGGCTGTAGCCCGTCGTGCTCGATTGCGGCTGGCTGGTCTCTGCTGGTTTGCTGCCATCCTGGGGTCTACGGAGCAATATTGAACAAGAAGGAAACATTGGTGCAAACCCCCACCTCTGGTAGCAGAGACGGCGCCCAGATCACCCCCCCCCCCCCCCAGACAGAATGGCACTACCTATTTCTTTGCGTAGCGTTACAAGCTGGCACCGCGTAGGTGGCCGTCACTCTGGCAGCAGCTAATATATGCTCATTAAACACTATAAACATTTTAGCACCTGCTGACTGGGTATTTGCACACTCCCCTGCCATCAGGAAAGGCCCGGGCAGCACCCTGAACAGAGAGCCCAGAGTACTACAGCTTCTGCTCACCAGCTGCGTTATGAAACCGAAGGCGAGGGATTTAGACTTTGGCTCTAGAACTGAGTCGAGGATGTGAAGCGGCCAGGAAAGCGGTCAGCGGCACTGCCCCTCCGCTCGAGCGGGTTTTGCACAACGCTTGGCAACGATTAGCTCAAAAGCAGCCAGAAACGTTGTCAGTTAACTGCACCGCTGTTTGGTTTAGAATCCAGTGCAAGCAGATATTGCCCCACATACGTCATCCGATGAAAGGGAAAGGATGTTGGGGGTTGGATTAAATGACCTTTAAAGGTCCCTTCCAATGGAAACGATTCTGTGATTCTATGTTTTGTATTAACTCTCAAGGCCTGAAAACAAAGAGAGCCCTTTGCATGTGACTCGCAGGTCCCCTTCTTTTGTATTTGTCCCATACCGTTTACAATCTCTCAGTGTTTATCAGAGCGGAGTAAAAAGAGTTAAGCTACTTTTGTCGTACAAGCTGGGAAAAAAAAATACTTTAAACGGTGTCAGGATTCATACTTACAAGTGTAATCTGACAGATACGGACAGAGCTGTGCCAAGCTCCCCCTTTCCTTACTGGAGTGGTTGCTACAAACATCAGGTAAACGAATAAAGCAGTTTTTACTCGCTACTAAACAAGTTTCCATTATGTATTCTAAATATTTCATATCCTGAGCAAACAATTAAACTAAATATACTACTGACAGTGCCCAGACACAAGAGATTTAAAAAGGAAATTCTCTACAGCATGTGCATCCACTCAAGAAGTCACAGTACGTAACAGTATCCTGCCTGACCCTGTGACTCAAGATCAGATCAGACTGGTCCGTTTTCTGTTCTGCACCGTGAGTCAGGAGCCCATTTTTGCTGCTTGGTTGCTCTCCTCATCTCCCAGTAACAGTGCTGACTCACCGTGGCGGAGCAGAACCTGCCTACGCGGCTTTCCCCCAGCCCTGAAACGCGCTGGGATCGGATGCAGCAAGAGCAAAGCTCAAGCGCAACGGGCAGGGAAAAGGCGTAAGCGAAACCAGCGGGCCCCAGTTCAGCTGGTGGTGCGCTGCTGCTCCCCAGGAGCAGAGCAAACGCAGCCTTCGGAGGAAGAGGGGAACCAGACGTTACCTTGCGGGAGCGGACGCTGCTGGCTGCTGCCCGTAGGCTGGGTAGGCGGGCTGGGTGCCGTAAGCGGACGGTGCTGCGTAGGAAGCCTGGGTGGTGGTAACCGTAGCGGTGTTAGTATCGTAGGCGGCTGTGCCGTACCCCTGGACGGGCTGACTGTACGCTGGGGGGGCAGTTGGGGTGGTATAACCTAGAACAGACGACAGCCTCATCAGATTAGTTCGGCGACCTTCACTCGTAACGTTGCAGGCTACTGCGCTTCTGCTGACGGTTTTATCAGGCCTCGGGCACAGCACCGATTTTACCACCGCAAAAGTATCACAGATAACCCCAAAACGATGAACTAACCCACGCAGCCCCTTCGCCTTCCACGGAGAAACCCCCCACCCTGGGAAGCCTCAGCCTACAGCCCCAGCTCTACCCTCACCATCCAAAAACCACGCTCCGAGGAGCTTTCTGGAAGCCACCCTTCAATCAGCATCCAAAGGCTGTTTGTTTACAGCTACTGAAGCTCACAGCTAATGTAACAAAGCGCACACAGGGCAAGCTGAGGCATGCAGCGTCTTCTGAACACAGGAGGACTAAACAAAGCTCCCGTTAGCCCTAAAGGAAAAGAAATCCAATCGATTTAAGAAGTACGGTCCCATCCTTTCAGCTTTTTTGAAAAACCAAAGCACAAAATGGCACCAGGCTGACTTGACAAGTCTTTCTGAGCCATTTATGAGGTCTTACTTCAAATCAGTAATTCTGCAAACAAAAGAAAAGCACTTTACATTTGCTTTAACTGAAGAGGAAGGTCAAAAAAGACACATAAGGTAGCTCCCGATGTTTTGTGTACCTTCGCTTTTCTCAGAATTTCAGTTTGTTTTAGGTAAAAAGCTTAGAGATCATACATTTATTTCTGAACAATTTTACAAGAACATCCAAGATCCCAAAACAGCTCCATTTAAATTAGTCCTTCCAGCAGCCGCCGCCGTATAATTTAGCCGACCATTTGACTTGTCACAAAGGCGAACCATAAACCCGGCATTAACACGGTGGCTTTTTATAGTTAAGAACCTTGCGAGCAGTTTTTCAAATTATGAAACGGAGACTTACATGAAAAAAGACCAATTAAAAATTTTGTTAGCAAAAGCTGGCTTACTAAAAATACAAAACATCGATTGCCAAAGAGCAGCCAACTGGTCTCAGTCTTACTGATGTGAACTTAATTGCATCAATTAAGGTAACAGCTTCTCCATCGCTTCTTATTTGTAATAAACACAGGACACTTGTGACATACTCTTCCTTCTAATTATACGGCATTTTACGCAAATTGTGCTGTAGCTTTTTATTTCAATTCCCTAATTTGCAAAACAAATATACTTCCAGCAGAATAGAGCGTGCCCTCCCGAAGCACCGCAGTACTTCCACATCTCGTTGTCCCCGCTACAAAAGCAGGACCCTTCCCAATGGCGCTCTGAATCAGTGAGCAAAGAGGAAGAGGAGCGAGAGGAGGAAGTTTGCACAGCGCAGTAAAAAAGTTTTTGGTTAAGTTTTTTGGTTAAAAAACCCCAAACTTCAGCTTTCTGTCCCGAGTGACGCTCTTGAGTTTCCTGGTTAGCCTCAGGATCCCGATGAAGGGGACACAAGCCTGTCCG